TCACATAAAAATATAAAATATTTTTTTGGCCCAAGAGTCAACTTTAGAGCAAAATATGGAGAATATGTGCATTGCAATTTAGAATCGCATCTATCGATCTAGATTCGACTCTTGAGAAACCAAATTTGACTTTAGGAGGTTAAGAGCAGTGTTGTTAAAATCTAGATTTAAATCATAAAATCTTATGATTTTACGATTGTTTACGATTTTACGATTTCAACAAGGCATTTTGTGTAAAATCTATACCAAAATCGAAAATTTATAAAATCTGGGGTCAAAAACGTAAAATTGAGGTTTTACTGTGAAATCGGTAAAATCTCGATTTTACCTCCTGTTTGGCAATTGGACTTTTTACCTATTTTCTTTTGGGCTTTTCATCTTAGGTTAGTGGGTTTTGACTAGATAACCCATAAATTAAACCCATTTTTCATTTTAAAAGCCCACAACCCACACAACCCAACCACAAATCAATATTTTAATCGGGAATTCGGGACAAATTTGATTTAACCATCTAAAATTCTAAACCTAAGTCATCTTTTTTAGTCATCTTCTTTGTTTAATTTATTTGTATTGTTGGATATTTAGATTTTAATTAGCTAATTTCAAGTTTCTAACTCTAAATTTGATTTATTGTAGTTTAATTTTGATTTTATATAATTTATTATATATTAAATTTTGTAAAATCTCGATTTTACCGATTCGATTTTACGATTCCAATTTCACCCAGCCAAAACGATTTTAGGTAAAATCTCGATTTTGACAACCTTGGTTAAGAGTCAACTCTCAAATTTCAGTAAGTTGAGAAATTTTTGAGTGCAGGTCATAGTTGACTCTAGCTTGTAAGATTCAACTCTTAGACTTAAGAGGGTTCTCAAAGTCAAAGTGCTTATTTCAACAATATGTTTTTTTGTTGATGATAGTATGGTTGCAATAATCACTGATATAGTTCATGTTGGTAAATCTCACTTTCACCAACATACCAGCCATGTCACTGATTATTGGTTGTTGAAATTATAGAAATTCTAATTGGA